GCAGCTAAAGTAGTGAGAGTCATTCTTTAAAATTTTACATCGCTCGAGTTTAGGCATTGGGGTGATTATTAGTGACCTAAGAGTGTGATCGATCAAGTGTGAATTTTGAAACTTCATTCTAGACGGTGTTATAATTTTCTTCTTTTCCTTTTGTCTCGGTGCGGGGATGAGAGAGAATTTGTACTTTAGAAGAAGATCTTTGTCTATGTACTCTGTTGATGATATTGTGCATGTTGATTTTTGCACAACAGTAGAAGTAGGAAGAGATCTCTTTCACGATGAACTGTGATTTGAGAAGATAATAATTCCGACGGAACGGAGGATTTGCTTTAAGGATTTTTGATCGCCTTCGGTAGAGGTCTGACCCATTCAAAAGTGGGTTTTGACAACAAGAAGTAGGTTGAGAGGGACAAATGAGCTCTAAGGACTGGTGATGAATTGTTTGTTGGGTCGTCCGACCGGTCCTAGAAGACTGTGGGGGGATCCTGTGACACAAAAAAATAGGTTAAAAGGGTGCCGGGTTGCTCTCCGGCGTATCCCCTCCGACGATCAAGTCAGTTCTTTGAGAGAGGGGAAGGAGAAAACACCGTATTTATTTTTCAGAAATTCTTACGTACCTTTTCAATGGTTTTTGAAAATTATTTATACCTTCAAAAACTCATGATTGCTAACAGTCCATTTAACAGATATTTGTCAGAGATGGGCAGTGTGCCTCTCCCTTTTATGGGGATTGGACTTTGCTTTAACTAATAAGGATGCCAAACATTTAAAGCTCATTCTTCGGTCTGCCAATCATTCAATTTCCCCTTCTCAGCGAGGATGCATTAAATGCTTAGGCATGGGGGTCTTTAATGCACTTCACTTCTCAGCTGCCATGCCTTAATTGTTGTCTCATCAGGAGAAAGATTCATTAAATGCTTACTTGCTCTAGTCGTGTGTCAGCAGGTGTACCCAAGTCTTGTTGTTACTGATTTGATATCAAATTCCACGCGTCCTCCCTCCTTGATTGCATGTTCTGTATTCTTGCGCCCCCTGACACCATCGAGCAGAGCGTGTTCATGATGATTAACCTAGCTTGGCCTAGGTTAGCCGTCTGTAAATCATTAATTTTTGCAGAAGCAGAGAAGAGGTGGAATCCAACGTACAAAAGAAATACCTCGGCATCGAAGAATATTTGTCCATCTCAAGGTCAAGAGTTTTTGCCGAGCCGAGGACACGTGTGTTGACCACTCCGATTGGGGATCCCTCGGCTCCAAGCACTATTGCCCTCGGCTGATGGGGATGGGTGTCGTCGAGGACACATGGTCATTTCTGGTTAGAAACACAACGATGCTGAAGACGCGTGTTTCCCCAATCTATCTTTTTCAGAAATGTCCCATCAGATATCTTTCTGAAAGTTAACCGAGGACTCTTCAAGTTCCTTTTCCCGCATTCTCGCGCCTGCATGTGTCAGTGCACATTCCCCCTCGAATGAACACGCTTGGTGAGACACAGGCACGGCTGACAGACCTTTCCCAACAAAGAAGGCTTACATGCTTTTGTTGATCTGAAAAGTAAATTGTGGCATGCCGAAAACTAATGCTATATATTTATGATATTTCTTAATCAGTCACAGTCTTTTAATTGGCAATGGGTCATTTTATATTGAAAATCACTCTCAATCCATTGGACCTAATAGATTAGGTTCGTAAATTAAATCAATAAATTTTGTGTAAACAGTATTATTAAACAGAAAAATAAGTTAGAGTTCCAACTAGTTGGGTTCTGGTGGAGGTGATTGTCCAATACTTAATCAATAGGATATAACATAATATAAGACAAGGAATAGAGAGCAAATACCTTAAACCTTTAATCTAATCACTATGTATAGCGGAGGAGGGATTGTGTAATTCTAGGGAGCTGGTAACAGATTGAAACCCTAGCAAGAGAAAGATGGTCAAACAGTTTCCTTTCCATTTGGAAATCTCGTCTGCAACTGATGAAGAATAAATGAAAAAGATTTTTGATATTTTATTTTGCACGCAAATCAAGGCTTATCTTCATTATTCATTTTAGTTCATTATACCTTTGTTTCTATTTGCTTCCTTGCATCAGTAACCAACTACAAAGTTGCAGCCCATACTGCATCATATCCCCTAGCCGACGTAGTGGCAGACTCTAATACCATATTAACTACCAACTAATTTAAAAGTTTAAATTGTTAGAGAATAAATACTATTCAATGCAACCGTCATTAAGTTAGATAAATAAGACCTTACTGTCTTGCAGAAAAATATAGTAATCAAGCAGTTACTCGTAATGAGTTTTTGGACCACTAACAATAAAAGCAGTAAATCAATCAATTTTTTTGGACCAAAATTCTGAGTATGTGCAGTACCATGGAAAAAGCAGTCCCTGGGGGGTGGTGACATCTATTCTCCTTGAGGCTATCACGTATTCACGTGCCTCTGGACCATGCACATCTGTGTAATGCAACTTGTGTACTGTACTATCAAGCTACAGCTAGAGGCTCTATGGAATGGTGTATGAGAACCTAAAATTGTTAATAATTCACCTAAAGTTTTTGTTCAAGGACTATTGATAAATGCTGTGGAATGGTATGAAACCCTCAAATTGTTCATAACCAAAAAGTTTCTGTTCAAGGACTATTGATATAAATATAATTTTAAGCTTATAATGATAAACCTTTATCCTGATTTAAACAAGACAAGCTCTACGGTGAGAAACCTTCACTGGAATGTTTAACTAGTGCATCTTGGTGCTTGTTCCCTTGGAGGGTTGGAAGCGAAGTATTGCGTGTGTAACTTAGTTTATGTTGTATTGCTTTTATGGGTATGTGTTGGTCTTAGCATTTTTGAATCTGAAAGAATTTTATTTTTATATATCTAGTCTCTCGGATTGTGAGAGTACATTTTTTTTTTCCAATGGAATAGGATTTAGAAGAGTTCATTTTTTATTACTGAAATTTTATTTATCTGCCGACAAAAATGAAAAATATGTTCCACAAAGATCAGTAAGGGGCAAATTGCTATATTGCACACCTTTTTTGATGATTCTCAGGAAATCATATTTTTCAAAACACTAAAATATCATAGAACTTAAAACCTTAACTATCTTATGTGATGCTAATAGCTAGGAAAATATCTGAAGTAATAATTCTACTTCACATATGATGCTTCTTAGTTTGACAGGTAAAGGAGAATAGAAAGAAGAGAAAGAGTCCATAGCTGATGAAAAGCAAAGACCTTGGCTATCTAATGGGGGATAGGAACACGGGATCTCATGGTCCAAGCAAGTTATTGGTAGGCCATCCAGTTGGTCCCAATGTGATTTCAGAAGGACAATAACCCTTTGATGTTGATGCTCTCTCTCTCTCTAGATCTCTCTAGATCTCTCTCAATTTAAGGTCTTTACTAGAAGCCCAAGATTCGATTTGTATGTGCCGATGAACTCTCGTCGGTCGGAATAAACCCCAGCATTTTTCATATCTTAAAGTCCTAACCAACTTCCACAGCTGTTACATTAATGTCATTTTCGAGACCATCTTAAAGTTTCTTTCTTCTTTGTTTTTGCGCAATTTTCTTTGGACAGGGTTCTTCGTTGCCGTTGATCTATTGCTGCGGTTTGTACATTTAGTCTTTGTTTTCCAACTGATCAATAAGTGGTGAAGTGAAGAATTTGCAATCATGAATGTGATATCAAATGCTCATCATTGGTGTCAAATCAAATCGTGGTGCAGATTGTTTGAATTCTTTAGGAATATTGGTGGTCCGTAGCACTTATGAGGATAGCGAATGATAGGCACGTAGGAGATGATAAATTATTCAAATTTAAATTATAAAAAGACCCACCAAGATTTAGTAAAATTACACTTCATTCCGGGTGATTTCAAAAATTGGAGAAACCCCCTATTACAGTTGGTTAGATAACATGGGTAGCAAGGTTTTTTTTTTTTTTTAATTTTGTCATGGTATCTTTAACCTGAAATGACAAAAATGAGTGAGTTAAATTCACCACTTTGCAAGCTCGGTAGTGTGCATAACCAATGAAATATTGTACGTTTTCAATTAATTGTTGTCACTCATTTGCATCCTCCCCCTAACTCGGCTAGACCCAGAGTCTCCAGTCCCTATCAAACCTTCAAAAATCAAGTCCTTCCTTTATCGCTTTCTATATTTCTTGTTGGACCTCTCTCGTTCGCTACCATTGATGTAGTAGATTCCGTTGTGTGGTGGTGCATTTGGTTGCAGGACAATTGTTGTTCAAGGTCTCCACCTCTATTTGAGGTGGTGGTGGACTTGATTCGAGGTGGTGAGTTCGGTGGAGTGGTTGAGAGAGCAGTAGGAATGAAGAAAGAGAGTTGGATTGTGTTCTGAAATGTTGGTAGTGGTGAGAGGGTTCGAGTTGGGTGGTTAAAATTGCGAAAAAGTACAAAGCACAAGCTTGGTTGTCCTTTATCTACATGGGACCTTATAAGATTTTTATTCCTGCACGAAAGTAATTAGGATAGAGACATGGCAAGGTAGTTGAGAATAGGAAAAACTAATAATACAAACTTAACATTTAATCGCATGAGGTTGTTAGTAGTTCTACAGTTAAATAAAAGCTAAAAATACAATCTTAACATTTAATATTAATTAATGGTAGCATCATCTAAACATCTGTACACATATTCAACCTAATGGATAACTGGATTACATACAATTTACTCACACATACTAACTCCTCCCCCTAGAAACAATGTATCTAACCCTAAGAGTCCTATCCCCTTCCTGGCTACACAAACTAGCAATGTACTAGGTCTACACACTTCTGAACACCACTAACCCAAAAAACCCAAAGAAAAATAATACTTTCTTCCCCCTCGTTTCAATATATTCCAATTGCAACTCCGTCCTCCTTGGGGAAGTGACATCTGTCATGGTGGTGCATGAAGGAAGCCCTTGAGTGGCTTGGCCTCAGAAAATATTGAATGTAACAGTAACACCACGTCACTATGGTCACGTAATGTCACCGTTACACTCAATATTTACTCTAGCTTTCCATTGATGATGTATATCTTCAGCAATTTTTCTTGCATCCGACGATGCACCAAGTAGACCACGCTTGGTGAAGCCGACAGCATATAAACCATGCTCACCTTTCCATCCATTGGGGAATGGTTTTTTGGGTAATCCATTTTTCGCGGAAAAGAAGTTAGTTTCCTAATCACAATAAATACAATCCCATATATTTTAGGGACACGTGTTTGAAACACTTACGATAAAGAATATACAAACCTATGATATATATTATTTTGACATAATCAAGATGACATTATATAAAGAAAGACGAACATACCGTTAACCAAGTGGGCACATTACTCCTGTAACCTGTAGCTAAGATGATGGCATCAAATTTCTCCTCCCTCCCATCTACAAATTCTGCTGTATGACTTGTTAATCTCTTTATTCCTCGGCAAACCTACATATTGGTGGTATCAGTATAAGATTAAAAAAAAAAAAACTACCCAAATTATTGAAAATATTTCATGGACCTTGCATGCGTTACCCTCGATTTACTGTTAATCTATTGGTACAGGCAGAATTTTGTTTACTTCTCAAAGTGAAAGAGCAATATTTTTTGAATCTAATCTCTTGGGTTGTGAGAGAATTCTCCTATATGTTATAGACTACGTGTGTTGTATGCGTTATGAAAACTTTTTTTTTGGTTCAACAATCAAATATATTCATACTAGGTTACACATATCTCGACTAATTCTCTCTCAGGTCCGGTCAAAGATAAGTCATCCATGTCGGGATTAAGATATTCATGAGGAATAAATATCTCATGGTTTGGTCCCAAGAGATCACCAAGATTAAAACTCAAAATGTCTGACTTTATAACTCGTTCCTGTTATCACTTGAATCAAAATACTCTTAAGAATTGATCAATGTGCCCTCTTGGGCTTGTATTGAGTTTTGTCGAGCATCTTCTTCTTTTGGACTAATATTTTTACTAAACATATATTCATACTTCAGTTTCTCCATGACCTAATTATCGAAACCATTCATCTCAATCACCTTGATGTCCCCGGTTCGAATCTTTGCCAGTGTACCAACATCCAACACAGGTGTCTTTCCAGATTTGCACTTGAGTTCGAGGGGACCTGGCTTTGGCCTGGTTAGTCCGAGCTTAGCTGTGTTACCAAGCATGAGACGAGTCATTAAGAGTAAAAACCAATCCACCAGCCAAATGGGGAACCACTTAAGCAACCACATGGACAGTCCAAAAGTTGATCGGCCTAGCATCTCTTGTGGCAATACATGCACCTGCAGAGCAAAAAAAAAAAGGTATTACAAAAGCTTAGAGATACTAAAGATGAGATATTTATGAGCTCTTTCCTCATCAATACCTTTGCATACTTTAGAATCTGTGACAGTCTTTCAGAGAAATGATCTAAAGGAAAAAAAAAATATCTCCTGTGACACAGATTTGCGTTGCTGAGCAGTACCGCAAGCATGCAAACGAAATCCAAGAAAGCAAAAGAAAAATGAAAGGGAAATATTCTCCGTAAAAGCCCAGACTGCAGTAATTTAAAGGGAAAAAACTTTAACTTTGAAGAAAGCTCTACATTTATTGAGTTACTTGTAGCACAAAATTTATTGCTGCCACAAACAAACATGGGTTTTACATATCACGGCCACTAATACTATTGGTATATAGTTTGCAACTTATTACATTATTATTGTTGGATTAGCAATGGATTGTATTCAATATTAAGACATAATGCTAATGCTATTTGAGCCTAATTACTCACAATCATTGAATTGATTGTGGATCTTAACATTTGTTTGGACCCGTTACCAATTCAACAAATTATACTAACAAATTAGGTCTCCATAACTTTATTGATGAAAATATGTTAGGTCCCAAAACTACTTCTTCAAATTAGGTCTCCTGATATATCATGAAAAGAATGGTTAAACAGCATGAATACCCAAGCCAAAAAACAAAAAAAAAAAAAACAAAAAAAAACAGCATGAATAAAATGGCTCTGAATGAATTTTATCGATCAGTTAAGAAATTGTGGGCCTATTATTCAGGTCAAATTACACATTTAGGTGATCATATGTGATCTCTTGAACTTATATGTGGCAGTAAGTGAAAAAACATTCTCTCCTTAATTATATATAAGAAATGATAGATTTAAACAATGCATGGTTTTCAGTAAAATTAAAAGTTTGGAAACCTAAAGCTCTTACCTTAGTTTTCTACTTCTGCTAATCCATTTGGTAGCTAGAAAAATTTCAAGTTATGTTACCATGTGTTAATATGCAGTCCTTTCGGAAATCAAGTCAAATTTGCCCACTAGAATTTGCTTATATACCAAGCAGAGAGAGAGAGAGAGAGAGGTTTACTTACAGAATCTCTAACCACAAGGGATGGGCGAGCATTATAGTTGCAGAGGTCCAAGCAGACCTCCATGCCTGAGTTCCCACATCCAACCACCAAAACACTCTTCTCCGTAAACGAATCACCACTCTTGTATGAGCTTGTATGAACAATAGGCCCAACAAACTTATTCATTCCTTCAATATCTGGTACAAATTCCTCTGCATTCTCTCCTGTGGCCACAATCAGCCATTGACACACATATTCTCTCTCCTCCATGTTCACTCCCATTGTCTTCACCCTCCAAAACCCACATCCAGAATCAAATTCGGCTCTCACTACAGTGCTGTTGAACACTGGTTTTAAGTCGAAAAATTGTACATATGCCTCTAAGTAGTCCACAAATTGTTGTTTGGTAGGGTAAGTTGGAAAGTTTGATGGGAAAGACATTAGAGGGAGCTCAGAGAATTGCTTTGGAAGATGAAGATGAAGCCTGTCGTACGTTTTATGCTGCCATGAAGAAGCTATGCAGTTAGATCTTTCAAGGATCAAGCTTGGAACACCTCTTTCTTTGAGACAAGCAGCTGTGGCGACGCCGGACGGACCGGCGCCGACTATGATCGGTCCAGGCACCCAAACCCGCCTTGATGAGTTTGTCATCTTTTCTTCGAAATGGTCGTGAACTCTTTTGTCTTCCACCTCTTGCAAGTAGTCCATTAACAATACAAACAAACCAAAGTCTTGTGCAGGAACTCGCTATTCTAAAGTTCATGCAAACTGCCAAAACAGAAAAAAAAAAAAAAAAAGACAACGCAGGTTTCCCGCACTGCGTCTCTAAAGAGATTGTTTCTATAATTCAAACAGGTGACACTCGAATCACAACAAATCGCTAAGAGAAGTCAAGGCCTATCCCTTTCACACAAGAACTCTCTCTATCTCTCTGTCTCTCTTTCTGTGATAGTTCAGATAAGCTAGAGATTAGACTAAGATTTTAGGCATATTTTTCAGCTGATCCAAGGAAGATTTTGTGAGATATTATGGGAATAAATACTGGATTATAGGGATGGATTGAGAGGGTCTTATCCAAAGAGGATTGAATGAGCTTTGATCTTTGTTTTATTCAATGGAGAAGTAAAAGGAGAGCAAGAGCTACGGAAACAAACAAACACAGGGGACGTCGCATAGTGTGTGGGAAATAAGATTTGAATCACGAAGGAATTGAAATGGAGTTTATAAATTTATAGGGTTAATTTTATTTTGCACCTCGAAAGATTGTTTAAATCTCAATTTATACCCTTAAAGATTAAAAATCTCAATTTATACCCTCAAAGATAGAAATTTGTATCAATGTGCACCTAAAAACTAAATTGATAAATTATACTTAGATCCCCCTCATACTTGTCACTTAATCATTTAGATCTCTTCACATTTAGAATATTACTCCTACATCTTATGACATTTGTGCACGTATAACACGTAACCCATTTTCATTGATATCTATTAATATAACCGTTAAAAAATATAATTTTATCCTAATAAAAAATTATAATTTCATATTACCCTTTATTTTATGGGTTTAATATATTCTAAAGTTCAAAATCTAGTTTACCATTTGAATGTCTAATAAAATGTAAATATTTATATAATGTTTTTCATATTACCTTCTATATAAATATCTACATTTTATTAGACATTCAAATGGTAAGCTTGATTTTTAACTTTAGAGTATATCGAATCCACAAAATAAAAGGTAATATGAAATTATAATTTTTTATTAGGATAAAATCATATTTTTTAATGATTATATTAACAGATATCAACGAAAAGTGGTTATGTGTTACACATGCACAAACGTCATGAGATGTAAGAGGAATATTCTAAATGTGAAGGAGTTCAAATGATTAAGTGACAAACATGAGGGGATCTAGGTATAATTTATCAATTTAATTTTAGGTGCACATTGATACAAATTTCTATTTTTGAGGGTACAAATTGAGATTTTTTATCTTTGGGGATGCACATTGATACAAATTTCTATCTTTGAGGGTGTAAATTGAGATTTTTGATCTTTGGAGGTGTAAATTGAGATTTGAACAATTTTTTAGAGTACAAAATGAGATTAACCCTAACTTTATATATACCGTATGAAGATCAATGATAAGTGACATAATGTAAGTGGGACATCAATATATATAGGTAATAATTAATAACTACCATTAACCAACGACAACCTCTTCTTCACCCACCTACAATATATATTCTCTGAGTCGGAGACAGAGAGAGAGAGAGAAAAAGAAGCTGCTACAAAGACAGGTATCTACAATTGAACATATTGATGATCATAGTCAATCACCTCTAATATTCAGGCTCGGCTTATTCATAAATGACTAACGTTCGGCCTGAATTCGGCTCCATGACGAGCTTGAAATGTGTTTTGAGTTTAAATTCTAACTAATTCAAAATCATCTTCAAAATCAAGTTTGACTTGTTCTTATATTTATATACATACGTCTTATTATAAATGACAATATATTCTACTAGATCGATTCTAAATTTGGGCTCCATCTCATTCATTTTATGAATGATGAACAACGGGCCACAAGGAGAGAGAGGTGAGTACACAGGTGTAAATGTCATTAAATTTAATGGCCCACATACAGTTAGTCCAAGTCCTTCAAACCTAATATTATTCGAAATTAAAATTTTAATTTGATCAAACTGAACTCAGATTACATAATTTGTAGACTGTTGAGAACTAAAGTTGTTGTCATAGTTGCAAGATCCTACAAATCTCCAAGAGAAAATTTTGAGTGGGTTTAACACACCACGTGGCACATCCATCCCTTTGTCAGAAAAAGCCATGTCATCATATATTCTTAACAGAAGTTAACCAACGTTAATTCTGCAAGTTTAGAAGACAGCTGCCAGCAAGTGCAGAGCAGATTCATCGTTGCTATTTCAAATTTTAAAAATCAATTCTTAAACAATGCCTTGAAATGGTTTACTCCATTTTCACAAAGAACGCTGGCCCACCACATTTCTCCATTTGGGCAGAATCGTTTACAACATTGAGTGGGATTTTAAATGAGAATCAAAGGTCACTATTCCAAGACTTATAGTTCACCTTTTGTCTTCTACATATCTCATATTGCCCTGTGGGATGGGTATGAATACAAAGGATTTAGATACTCTTCATTACACTTTTACTCAATTTTTTTACTCAATGGTAGATCATTAGATCTTACGTGAATATATGGTGGATAATCAACCATTAAGTAAAATTGTGTAAAAAAATATGAAGATGATCTCGATCCGAGTATAACTACCCTCCACCAAAGTTTCCCCCACGACTTGGAATCTTTCTGATATAGCTTTTTTGTTGTTTTTTCGTTTCTAAACAAAAATCTATCGAGCACAAGTTAGAGTATCTCGCTTATGACAAAGGTTTTATTCTCCTGAACTCACTTATAGTGCATGAGCAAAAGCATCCATATATATTATTTCAATAGACAAGCTTGATTTATGATCAGTAAGTTACAATGGAATGTTTTTCTTCAGAATTGGCAATGATAAAACAATAAAATTTCGACATTGCTATGTCATCACGACATTAAAAGGCAAAGTACATAAAACTTGATATCCTCACTATACATCACACATGTTGGTATATAGGATATTGGGTCACCGCAATTCACTCCCTTAGGGTGGTGCATTCTCGTGCTGGAGACTTTTCATGCGTTTGGTACTAACTTTGATATTGTTTGTGGAACCCTGAACTCGTAATTTACAATATATTGTCATTTTGGACTTAGTTCGTACAATTTTGAAACTTATCGTGTAATAAAAATCTAAATACCGCACCTATATAACACTCCACACACGCTCCACCAAACGTTATGAGATTGGATCACCACACTGAACCATTATTGAAACGAATTGGAACGAATTTGAGCAGGGCAAGAGCAATCCCACATCAAATGGGTAAGAAAATAAAATACTGTTCATATACAAAGTTTAAAACAAATCATTCTGAGATTAAGCTTAAACTTGTAGGGTCGGTTTTTATTCAACTTGTATATTATGGGCCTACATTCTAGCACTTTAAGACCAGGATCAGAAAAGGACTTCCATTGAATATCTGGCAAATGCTCAACAGTCATCTACTCCCCCAATGTTTGGAGTACTGTCCACACATAGACCTGTTGATCAATCTATATCTGATTGGAAGTTTTCACAAAAAAGATTTTTGTACTACGTCAACTTGAGGGTAACACCATTGTACTGAAAAGTCATGGATACCACACTTCTGTGACTTGTTTACATTCTGGAGATTTAAGACCATTGTTGGTGGCATCATTGATCATCAAAATAAATGTTTCTGCAATATGGTTCCACCTTATGTCTACCACATTTTGGGAAGAAGATTACTTTTTGCTTTATTATATGGAAGATTGGCAGGATTACATATTATGTTACCTAAGAAATATCGTAAAACCTTTTTTTGGTCCAATGAGAGCATGACACATGTAAACCCTTTGATTTTATTGTTTTCATAGTCTAGTCTATGGCTACAAATAAGTCAAACTCAAATTCATGTTGGGAATATTCTTTTGATATCATATGAAAAGTTATGGTGTGGTACGTATGATACCCTCCTTAGAATTTTGATAACTCAAATTCAATGTCTTTGGTTTAATGGTATTATTTGACTCGTAAAAGATTTGTCGTTTTGAGGTTAAGGGGTCAAGTCCTCGCCTCCCCCTCCGAAAATAAAATAAAATTTTAAAAATACCATGGTTGTGGAAATGGTGATCTGAACTTTTGAAGCCTCACCTTCTTTACTGTGGAGATAAAGCACATTTTGCTTTTGCAATGCTCTAAATTTCAGTGCAGTGTGCATTGGAGAGAGAGCAGTACAGTAGCAAAGATCTCATCAGATCTCCTTGATGTTGTGCAATCATCAAAATGTAGGATCTTTACGGCGTTACTTTTTTTTTATCAAAACAAGATCATGCAACAATGTATTGAGTAAAAAAAATTAAATTATAATCAAACAAAAACAAAAGAGAAGCTTTAAGTTTGAGAGGGAGGAGCCTAACCAGTCCCGTGGAAGTGAGTTGGTTAGTTTAGCGACTGCCACCCAATGAACAACCCTATTACGAGCTCTAAGATTGCGTAAAAAACTAAGGTTATATAACATAACAAAATCTCTAATAACATTCATAATAACTTTAATTTCCCAAGGAGGAACATCCTTCGCAGAACTAAGTTTAATAACAGAAAGACAATCATTCATTATTGTGGTATTGGAGAGCAAAAGGGCATCAACAAGTAGACAAGCTTAACGCATTGCCTCAGTTTCAGAAGACAAAGGTGACACTACAGAAAAAGTCCTAGCAGCACCAAAAGCCAAAACACCTTCCTCCTTGCACAGCACCACACCACACGCAGCATTGTAGACTTAGGATCAAAGGAACCATCACAGCAGAGAAGAAAACCATTCACTAGGAAAGGGGACTACTCCACCGTAGCCACCAGGGCGTCTGATCTGGAATGAACAACAACAGCCACCCTAAATTGATCATTCCACATGCATTGGGCACGAACAACCAACACAAAAGCATTAACATCCTCATCACAAAACACCTTTTGATTCCTACCTTTCCAAATAACCCAGCCTACTGTGGCCACTTTACCCAAGACCTCAAGCCTTTCCA